GTAGTTAATAAATGCTAATAATAATATTCTGTTCTATTTCACTACAATATGATTTGATAGCCACTCCATTTCTTTGGTCCTCAACTCTGTCTTTCCTATTGCTACACTTTAAGGGTATATATCGATGTATGTCAACTTGGAGGCTTTAAGTTGCATAGACTTCAATTCCTAGAATTCCATACCTGGGATTGATGCAGAGATGGGATGCAAATATTTTTACAACCTGTTCTGTGGGCGTGACTAGGTGGGAATGGCTAGGTGGGCATGGCCATGTGACTGGGTAGGGGTGGCTTTTACTGTTTTTGCAGCAAACCCCATCCCCCATGCTCCATTTTTTTTTTTTTTTTTTTTCCCTCCTGGGCCCCAGGGAAGCCTCCTGGGGGGCATTTTTGCTCCCAGGAAATTTTTCCTGAGGCCCAGGAAGACAAAAAATGGAGCACGGGAGGGGGGCGTGCAGCACACACACATCCTGCGCACCCCTCTTTGCCTCCTGGGCCTCAGGGAAGCCTCCTGGGCGAAGCGGTAAGACAGTGAGGGGAATCCCGGCACAACTGATCGTCGGAACAGCTGATCGTTGGGAGGAAGTAAAAAAAGAATTACCTTAAGGAGTGACTGGGCAAGGGAGAATACAGTCAGCAATGTCGGGCATGTGCACGATGTTGCGCATGCACGATAAGGACTGACTGGGCAGGGAGGGGAGGGGCAGGTAGAGAGAGATGGGGCCAGCCGGGGCACAATTTGTCGGTTCTCCGAACTGTGCAGAATCATAACAACCAGTTCTATAGAACTGGTCCGAACCAATAGAATCCCACCCCAGATTGATGGCTATGGAATTCTGGGAGTTGAAGTCCAGGCATCTTAAACCTGCAAAGTTGAGAAACACCCATCAATGTTCTGGATGGAGTCACCAAAGCAGTAGGCATGAGCTTAAATAGACTCCGGAGGATGGTAGAGGACAGGAAGGACTGGAGGAATGTTGTCTTTGGGGTCACAATGGGTCGGACATGACTTCGTGACTAACAACAACAAAATATTCTTATTCAGCAGGTTTCAATGGGTGTTTCTGCTCCATTGCAACCTTCAATGGCCTGCACGTAGACTTAGTTTGATTGTTTCCCTGCCAACCTACATTATAGGTAGTCCTCAGCTTACGACCACAATTGAGCCCAAAATTTTCTGTGAGACATTTGTCGAGTGAATTTTGCCCTGTTTCATGGCCGTTTTTACCTCAGCTGTTAATCACTGCAGTTGTTAAATTAATAACAAGGTTGTTCAGTGAATCTGGCTTCTCCGTTGACTTTGCTTGTCAGAAGGTCACCAAAGGGGATAACAGGACCCCGGGACACTGTAACCATCATAAATAGAGTCAGTGGCCAAGCGTCTGAATTTTGATCACGTAACCATGGGGGATGCTGCAAAGGGCGTAAGTATGAAGAATGGCCATGTCACTTATTTCAGTGGTGTAAGTTTGAACGGTCACTAAATGAACTGTAGTAAGTCAAGGTACTTCCTGTATTTTTCTCCTCTGCAATTTCTGCTTCCTAATTTCTGCAAAACTCTTTTTCTTTTCTTGAGACATTCTTTTTTTCTCATTCTGACTCTCAAAGGAATGCCTCTCCGCTCCGGTTTTCCCAGCTGCTGATTCCTACTACAGGTAGTACCTTGATTTACAACAGTTCACTTAATAACCATTTTACTAATTTAATACCTGCCGTGATTCACTTAACAAATGTGGCAAGAAAGGTCGTACAATGTGATAAAAATTCACTTAACAAATTTCTCACTTCGCAGCATAAAAGTTGGGCTCGATTGTTGGGTCGTAAGTTGAGGACTACCTGTACACTTGAGCTTGGACAGTTTTCCCAGGTTCTCCCTTCAACATATGGAAGAAACCATATGGGTGACACCGTGGGAACAGGACCATACAATGGTGGAAAGGTTCCGTGGAACGCTTTGCAGGGCGAGGTGTTTTCTTTATCTATTTATTTATTAAATTTATACACCGCTCATCTCACCATTGAGTGACTCTGGGTGGCCCTCTGCCCCAATCTAATCTTTTAGGACACATACATCTTTACCACCAAGCTATAAATTGTCAATTACAATAAAGAAGTTTCAATGGCATTCATGCAAATATTCCATTTTTTGACTTTTAAGTACACGAGTACACATTGTAATTAATCTTTGGTAGCCAAGAAACAATCAAGGAGGAAACATTAGCCTAATCAAAGAATCATCAAGAATGAAGCCATATCCAACCAAGATTGACAAAGCGTTGTAGATAAGCAATCAGAGTGGTGCGGTGGCTATCAGGAGGCTGTGAGTTCGATTCTAGGTAGAGGCAGATATTTCTCTCTCTCTCGGCACTATGAGAATATATCCCTGAACAAAACTCCGCCTTGGCAACAGGAAGGGTATCTGGCCATGAAACACTCTGCTAGCTCCATTCAGTTGCTCAGACTCCAGCTCGCAAAGGATTATGGGGTCATTAAAAGATGGCGATTATAGATAAGCAATCAGCAAGTCCCACTCCTCCCTGACTGATGAGACATAGTCTCGTAAGAGAATGTCAAGACAGGAAAACAACAAGACTCAGAGAACCCTAAGGATTCAACAATCCATCACCAAGTTTCTTAGATATTGAAGTATTCCAAACTACTGGAGTTACAGGTAGTCTTTGATTTACAGCTACAATTGAGCCCAACGCTTATATTGCTAAGTGAGACGGTTGTCAAGTGAATGCTGCTCCATTTTATGACCTTTTGCCACAGTTGTTAAATGAATCGCTGTCGTTTTTAAGACAGTAACATGTTGATAAGTGAATCTGGTTTCCCCATTGATTTTGCTTGTCACAAGGTTGCAAGTGGTAATCACATGACACACACACACACCCCAGGACACTGCAACCGTCATAGATATGAGTCAGTTGCCAAACATCTGAATTTTGATCATGTGACCATGGGGATGCTGCAAAGGTCATAAGTGTGACAAACGGGCGTAAGTCACTTTTTTCAGTGCTGTTGTAGCTTTGAACGATCACTAAATGAACAGTTGTAAGTTGAGGACTACCTGTATTTTAGATGCAAAAGTTGTAAGCCACTTTGATTGTTGACATGCTCAAAAAGGTATGGTGTAACGTTAATAAGAAAGAAAGAAAACATTTTGGTCTTTTTCTAAAATTCAGCTTCAGGATGAAATCAATGGTAGAATCCAAACTTTATGCAATTGAGGTGGGGAAAAGGACGATCTCTACCAATGATGGCCATGCAATGGCTAAAATATATATATACTTGAAGCAAAGAACAAGTGAAAGAGTGTATGATTAAAAGGGTTAAGTGCTTTGGAATTAATATAGTGATGGAAAAATGGGAAAGCATATGGCTGGAAAGACCAAATCTTTCTTTATAATTTAAAAGAAAACTTTTTTATAAAATGATATGCAATTGGCATATGCCTCTAGAAAAATTATCTAGAATATATAAAGATGCTTCAACTTTATGTTGGAAATGTGGAACACATGAAGAGTCATTTTATCATGCCTGCTGGGCTTGCAAAAAAAATTTTTGGGGGTTCAAATCAGAGGTGGGATTCAGCAGGTTCTGACCAGTTCTGGAGAACCAGTAGCGGAAATTTTGAGTAATTCAGTAAATACCACCTCTGACTGGAGATTTTACAGTATCCTTCCCCTGCCACGCCCACCAAGCCACGCCCACAGAACTGGGAGTAAAAAATATTTGAATCCCACCACTGGGATATTTGAATCCCACCACATGCATATAGTTATACAGAGAATTTTAAAGATATTAATATTCAGTTGAAACCAGAACTTTCTCAATTGAGATTAAAGCATAGATAATGAAATCCGGGCAAGGCCGGAGCTGGGGAATCACACATTCCCTGACCAGGCCAAGGCAGGCGATGGCTTCGGAGCCTCAGGGAATGGCGCATCCCTGGGGTCCCGGCCCCCGAGCCAAGGTGAAGGGCGAGCAGGTGGCATGCATTGCTTACCTTTGGTGAGCTGAGCTGACTGTGCGTTGGTGAGGCAACTGGTGATGCAATTAGCTGGGCCGCGTGGTGAAGGAAACATATATTAGGGTGAGGGTGGGCGGTGCGAGCATCGAGCGGGCAGAAGGGGCGATTGAGTGTCAAGCGGGCGGAAGAGGCGAGTGAGTGTCAAGTGGGCAGAAAGGGCAAGTGAGCAGCAACCGGGCGACCCAGAAGTCGCTACTAGTTCAGCAACCCAGGCCATATTGCCGCTACCAGTTAGCCCGAACCTGCGTGAACCGGCTGAATACCATCACTGCAGTGTACCTCTCTCATCTTGAAAGAAAAGACTTAAGGCACCATCCTCTCCCTCAAAGAAGCAGACACCATAGCATGGAATGAGGTACAGGAGGAATCCGCCACTAAGCTAACAGCACAGAGAAGCTGCCCACTTCCTCAAGAGTTGCAGGTTCATATTTGGGTACCTCAACTGGACTCCAGTTGGAGTCTAGGTTGGAGTGGATCTGAGTATCTGCCAGATAGCCTGTCCCTACCCAACCTTCTTCTGAATACGCATCAGATACCCAAATCTAACCTGGAACCCTGTTATGCATTGGGCTATTGTTAACTTGGGACTCGTCCATGGTTGCCATGGGTCACCACAGATTTTATGCTGCCAAGACCTGAGCATCAACAGATTAAGGGACTCAGAATCCAGAAATACAGGTAAAGGGCAGCAGGGAAGTCAACACAACACCAACAATTTCAAGTGTTCCCCAATTGTATTGTTCCCCCCAGTTCTTTGTTATTCTTCTAGCCTATTCTTCCTACTTGGAGGAGTCATCTTCAATTCTGAGTCCTTTGTTTTAGGTAAATATGATAATGCATATATGAAGACTTCATAAACATATGTCACTGAGCAAAACTATAAAAAGGAGACATGAAGAGTAACTAATAACAAGCTACAGGAGGGTCAAAATCTATCGCAACAGATCAAGCTCCGCCAACGTTGGGGATTAACAAGGAACTGCACAGATCTTCAGCGGGAAAGGCTGCATCCCAGCCCCTATCACATGCTCCATGTTAAATCCTTTTAGTCCTTCTGGATACTGGAAAGTAAACGTTTTCATAAGGTTGGTGAAAAAAATGAAGAGCTCCATCTGAGCCAAAGACTTCCCCAAACATTCACGGGCGCCTAAAAAAATAAATAAAGGGAAGATCGTGAGATGCAGGCATGAACCGCTACCAAAGACGATTGTGGTTACAACCTAGATGCAAATTGGCAAGTATTTTTAAAAATAGCACTTAGCAATAGCACTTATCTATTGCTTCACAGTGCTTTACAGCCCTCTTTAAGTGGTTTAAATGTCTGTCTCTTGCCCCCAACAATCTGGGTCCTCATTTGACCGACCTCGGAAGGATGGAAGGCTGAGTCAACTATGAGCTGGTGAGAACTGAACTGCTGGCAGTCAGCAGAATTAGCCCGCAATACTGCATTCTGACCATTGCACCACCAGTGGTTAGAATGCTAGGAAAACACTGTTCTCAGTCATGGAATGAGCAGATTTAAAAAAAAAAACAATTAATTGTGAAAAGTTCCATGCAGCACAATTAGTCCTTGACATGAAGCCAGCCCATTATGATCGTATGTCACAATAGTCATAAAATGACTAACCCAAATTTATGATTTATTTTTTTGCAGTAATTGTTAAACAAATCACTGGGGTCATGGGATCACTGTGAATGAAATTTACAGCCATTAAAGCTTTTAGCTATAGAAACCCATTACAGAACTTTTGCAAAACCTAAGGGTTGTCCAAGTACCAAAACTATGCTTCAAAGCTACTGCTAAACTTTGAAGATAGATGGGATATGTTGTCAGTGTATTTACCTGCCCCAAAGGTAAGGAAATCTTCTCTGAATACAAATTTCCCATCTTGATCCAAAAAGTGGTTAGGGTTAAACTGTCGTGGCATCTCCCATTTTTTGGGATCCAGTAGAACAGAGCAGGAATCAGGGATCACAATGCTACCCTGAAAAAGGATAACATTAACTGTTGTTTTCACAAAGCATGCTTAGCTTAACCTGGTGTCTCTATTAATTCTCTGTCTGTCTGTCTGTCTGTCTGTGTCTGTGTGTGTCTCTCTCTCTCTGTCTCTCTCTGTCTCTTTGTCTCTCTCTGTGTGTGTCTCTCTGTCTGTCCCCCTCTCTCTGTGTGTGTCCTTTTGTCTCTATCTGTCTCTCTTTGTGTGTATCTGTCTCTCACTGTCTCTCTCTCCGTCTCTCTCTGTCTCTGTCTCTGTCTCTCTCTGTTTCTCTCTGTCTCTTTGTCTCTCTCTCTCTCTCTCTCTGTCCCTCTGTCTCTGTGTGTGTGTGTGTCACTCTGTCTCGCCCTGTCTCTATGTCTCTCTCTGTGTGTGTCTGTGTCTGTCTCTCTCTGTCTCTCTCTCCTTTTGTCTCTCTGTCTCTCTGTGTGTATCTGTCTCTCTCTGTCTCTCTCTCTCTCTGTCTCTCTGTCTCTCTCTCTGTCCCTCTGCCTCTGTGTGTATGTGTGTGTGTCTCTCTCTGTGTCTCTCTGTTTCTCTGTCTCTCTCTCTCTGTCCTTTTGTCTCTATCTGTCTCTCTATGTGTGTATCTGTCTCTCTCTCTCCATCTCTCTCTGTCTCTCTCTCTCTCTCTCTCTGTCCCTCTGCCTCTGTGTGTGTGTGTCTCTCTCTGTGTCTCTCTGTTTCTCTGTCTCTCTCTCTTTGTCACTCTCTGTGTCTCTCTCTGTCTCTCTGTGTGTGTGTCCTTTTGTCTCTCTCTGTCTCTGTGTGTATCTGTCTCTCTCTGTCTCTCTCTCTCCATCTCTCTCTCTCTGTGTGTCTCTGTCATTGTCTCTCTCTCTCTGTCTGTCTCTCTCTCTCGCTCTCTGTGTATGTGTATGTGTGCCCTCCAGTCAGTGTTGACACCTGACTATCTGAACAAGTCCCTGCAGTTGTCTTGGCAAGGTTTTTCAGAACTGGTTCGCCATTGCTTCTTTCCTAAGGCGGAGAGAGAGGGGCTGGCCCAAGGTCACCCAGCTGCTTCATGCCTGAGGCAGGACCATAAGTCACAGTCTTAACCACTACACCAAAGTGGCTGTTTATCTGAGTGTATCTGAACTCTATGCAACCCCATGGCTGAGGGTTTTCACAGCACATTAAGCCACAAGTACAGGTAGCCCTTGACTTACAACAGTTCGTTTAGTGGCTGTTGAAAGTTACAACGGCACTGGGGAAAAGTGATTGTAACTTTTTTCTCACACTTAGGACTATTGCAGCATCCCCATGGTGACGTGATCAAAATTCAGCCACTTGGCAACTGACTCATATTTATGATGGCTGCAATGTGATCCAACCCCCTGCACAAGCGGGAGACCCTATACCATTTCTGACAAGTCACCAGCTTTTACCTGAGCCCCTTTATGACATGGACTCAGAACCACTGGTCTTGTTTTTATTTTTAAAGTGTGGGGTTAGAGCGCTCTTGTAGAACTGCTGGTTCTGTGTTGCACAAAAGGTGAATTACACTTGGGAACATTGTTTGTTGCTAACGTTGCCTCCCCCCATGGCTTTCTATTGCTTTGACTGACAACATTGGGGATTTTGTTGTTGTTTGTTTGTTTGTTTGTTTGGCGTTGCTGTGCTGTTATTCTTTACCTTTGGAATATAACAATCAAGTACGGTCAAATCTATTGCACACAACCTAAAGTGGTTGGGAAATGCGATACTGCTGAGACGCTGGGTTTCATGAATGACAGCATACGAATAAGGCAGTTTCTTCCGATCCTCGTAGCAGATGGTTTTGTGGGGATCCAGTGCACTTTTGATCTCCTTCTGTACTTTCTCTGAGAAGAAAAGAAATGCACTCTTATTGGCAAGCAAGTGAATAACCTCTTTAAGGAATCCTCAAGAAATCTGGCCTCTACTTAATTGGAGTTTCAGTTACTAGCTAATCTGGCAAGAACCATAACTAAAGGGAAAATGAATGCTATTGTGTTTGTTTAGATAAATGAAATGGAATAGAGTTAGTTCTCGCTCAACAACCATCCAGGGGTGACATGATAGCAGCAGTGGTGGGATTCAATTTTTTTTACTACTGGTTCTGTGGGCGTGGCTTGTTGGGTGTGGCGTGGTTTGTTGGGCGTGGCTTAGTGGGTGTGGCAGGGGAAGTATACTGTACAATCTCCATTTCCTTCTCACCCCACTAACCTGCTTTCCAGTTCCTTTCTCCTGTGCAGGGCAACAAAAGAAACCCCAACCAATCAGCTGGGACTCAGGAGGCAGAAAATAGACGGGGCCAGGGCCAGTCAGAGGTGGTTTTTGCTGGTTCTCCAAACTACTCAAAATTTCCTCTACCGGTTCTCCAAAACTGGTCAGAACCTGCTGAATACTACCTCTGGATAGCACTCTTCCAGTATCTAAGGGGCTGCCACAAAGTAGAGGGAGTCAAGCTATTCTCCAAAGCACCTGAAAGCAGGACCAGAAGCGATGGATGAAAACTAATCCAGGAGAGAAGCAACCTGGAACTAAGGAGAAATTTCCTAATAATTCATCAGTGGAACAACTTACCTCCAACACTGGAGGCTTACAAGAAAAGATTGGATAACGACTTGTCTGAAACGATACAGGGTTTCCTACTTAAGCAGGTGGTTGGACTAGAATGGGTATCAGCAACCTGCGGCTCCGGAGCCGCATGTGGCTCTTTGACCCCTGTCCTGCATCTCCCTGCCAACCCGGTCATGTAACCTGCTCTCTGTCCCAAGACACTGACCCAACCTGGCCGTGGACGAGACCAACCTCGCTAACATGAGGACTGGTGGGGTGGGGAATGGGATCCAGAAGGAGGGTACGATGGAAAGGGGGACAGGCCTGCAGCTGAGGAACGAGCATGAGCCACAGTGGCAACTTCCCCAAAGATTACCCTCAACCTCCTCCTCATGCGCCCCCCTGGCTGGCTGTTGCGGGACCAGGAGGATGCGCATGAGTGGGGATACCTCCTCAAGTGAATGGCCAGACTTGGCCAAAGCACAGCAAAGGTGCGTGGAGCAGGCAGGTTGACCAGCTGAGGGACAAGTATCTTTAGTGAGGGCACTCTGGCTTTCTCCAAGCCTGATCCCCGGAGTGGGCATGCAAGATTCGGTGGGGCCTTGCCCCCTTTTCCCATGCCCTGAGCTTCTTTACTCCTCCAGCTTAGCAGTGCCACCAGCCACGTTGATTGAAAAGCGTCCTCCATGCGGATAAGTCCCCTGTGTGAGATTTAAAATTGCCCAGAGAACACTTTTCAATCAATGCCACCAGTGGCACCGCTCCACTCACTAGCAGAGGGTATCCCCACAAGAAAGAGAGAGAGAAATAAGAGAGGAAAGGGAAGAAAGAGAGAGAGAGAAATGAGAAAAGAAAGGAGAAGGAGAGGAAAAAGAGGAAAGACCCTACACCATTTCTGACAAATGGCGGTCCAATCTCTTCTTGAAAGTCTCAAGTGATGGCGCTCTCACAACTTCCGAGGGCAAGCTATTCCACTGGTTGATTGTTCTCACTGTCAGAAAGTTTCTCCTTATTTCCAGGTTAAATCTCTCCTTGTTCAGTTTCCATCCATTATTCCTTGTCTGGCCTAGAGGCGCTTTAAAAAATAGCTTGACCCCTTCCTCCCTGTGGCAGCCCCTCAAATATTGGAAGACCGCTATCATGTCTCCCCTGATGCTTCTCTTTAGTAGACTAGCCAAGCCCAGTTCCTACAACTGTTCTTTGTATGTTTTAGTCTCCAGTCCCCTAATCATCCTGGTTGCTCTTCTCTGTACTTTTTCTAGAGTCTCAACATCTTTTTTATAATGTGGTGAACAAAACTGGATGCAGGTGTGGTCTTATTTTAATCTTAAACTATCCACTATTGACCTCACCCCATTCGTAAGAGGTCTGTAAGGGGCATGCATAAGCGCACCATCGTGCCTATTGTCCCTGTCCTATTGTCCCCATTTATTCGTACCTATTTCCTGTATTCTTACTCATGTTTATACTTATACCTATTATCTTGTAAGTGATTGACAAATCAAATAAATAAATAAAAAACTTCTCTGCCTCCCAAGTCCCGGGTGATTGTCTGGGTCTTTTTTTTTTTTTTTTGTTGCCCTGTGCAGGAGAACAGAGCTGGAAAGCAGGTTAGTGGGGTGGGGAGGGAATGGGGATTTTGCAGTATCCTTCCCCCTCGAGTGGGGAGGGAATGCAGATTTTACAGTATCCCTCCCCTGCCATGCCCACCAAGCAATGCCCGCCAAGCCTCGCCATGCCCACAGAACCGGTAGTAAAAAAAAATTGAATCCCACCACTGAATGTCTCCCCCTTCAAACCCACATGACCTCCAGGCCGTAAGGACAGAATCTCAACAACCTCCCTTGGACAGCCCAGAATTGGAAGATCTAAAGGCAGAGATTAAAAAAAAAAAGGAGGGAGGAGAGCCTAGAATTCTCACCACGGGCTTTTCTCACCTTGAATTTTGGGATGAATCCCCATAAAAAACAGAGCCCAAGATAGGGTGAAAGCTATTGTGTCCGTGCCTGTGAGGAACAAGTCAACAATAACTTGGATCAAATTGTCTTCATGAAAAGTTGAGGTGGTGTCCTTTTTCTCCTGTGGATCGGATGAACAAAACAAAACTGAAGTCCAAGATATTCAGAGTTAAACAGCCTTAATTCCAACCATTGTACAGCACTGTCACTTCGGAGAAGGGATTCATGACCACTGTATTACCGTGTTTCTCACATAATAAGGCCGGGCCTTGTTTTTTTTTTGAGCCCCGAAAAGACGGCTAGGCCGTCTTTTCGGGGGTGATTTAATTCCCCCCCTTGCATCCTCGCCAACAGCCGCTCCTAACGGGTGATCATGGCCAAGCACAGAGAGCTCCCTACTCCCACCTTTGCTGCAGACACCTTTGGCACCCGCCGCTGTTGCTTTCCCTTCTGCCCATTACACCGCCACGTTTGGAGCTGCCGCTTCCGTGTTTGGAGTGCCGCCACCATTTGGAGCTCCAAACGCGGAAGTGGCAGCTCCAAACATGACGGCGGGCGATCTTTTTATTTTGGTTCGCGCGAAGTTCAGAGCGAGCAAGAGAGGGAGACTGCAATGCCTCCATCCGAGATGGCAACCTCACTAGTGGATCACAACGTGGCTGGAAGCCCGAATCGGTGGGATACGATGGCGATCTTTTTGGAGCGAGAGGAAAGGGAGAGAAGAGTTGCGAGGCGTAATTTGCAGGAGGAAGTGGGTGTACCCCATGGCAGGGAGCCCAAGGAAGAAGGGCTGGTAGGCAACGGAGAGCGTCCCGTAGCTCCGGAAGCAGCCTAGAGACGCGCCCGGGAAGAGGCGCAGATGCTGCCTTGTAGTCCCCAAGCCAACTGCATGCACCGCCTTTAGTTATGTGCGCTCCGTGCTTTGGGCATCTCCATGTGATCGCAACCCTGTCCTTTCCACCTGGCGCCCTTGCTGCTTTCTGGCTCTTTAGCAACCGGCTTCGTGTTTGGAGCACTGCCGCTGTTTGGAGCTCCAAATGGTGGCGGAAGCTCCAAATGCGGAAGCTCCAAACATGACGGTGGGCAATCTTTTTATTTTGGTCCACGCGAAGTTCAGAACGAGCATGAGAGGGAGACCGCGATGCCTTGCTAAAGAGCCAGAAAGCAGCAAGGGCGCCAGGTGGAAAGGACAGGGTCGCGATCACACGGAGATGCCCAAAGCGCACATAACTAAAGGCGGCGCACGCAGTTGGCTTGGGGACCACAAGGCAGCATCTGCGCCTCTTCCCGGGCACGTCTCTAGGCTGCTTACAGAGCTACGGGATGCTCTCCGTTGCCTACCAGCCCTTCTTCCTTGGGCTCCCTGCTATGGGGTACACCCACTTCCTCCTGCAAATTACGCCTCGCAACTCTTCTCTCCCTTTCCTCTCGCTCCAAAAAGATCGCCATCGTATCCCGCCGATTCGGGCTTCCAGCCACGTTGTGATCCACTAGTGAGGTTGCCATCTCGGATGGAGGCATCGCAGTCTCCCTCTCTTGCTCGGTCTGAACTTCGCACGGACCAAAATAAAAAGATCGCCCGCCGTCATGTTTGGAACTGCCACTTCCGTGTTTGGAGCTCCAAATGGCAACGGCACTCCAAACACGGAAGCGGCAGCTCCAAACGTGGTGGCGTAATGGGCACAAGGGAAAGCAACAGCGGCTGGTGGCGAGGAATTAGGAGCGGCTGGTGGCGAGGAATTCCTGCCCGCCGGGCGCTCCTAACGGCAAGTCTCCCCGCCTTTCCCCCTTATTTTGCATATTTTAAAATAGGCCTAAATTTGGGGGGAGGGGCTTAATTTGATTTTATGCCCAAAAAACATGCTGGGCCTTCCTATTGGTGGAGGTCGTATTGTTGGAGAAACACGGTATACCCCAAATCTATCCACAAGATGAGGAACAGGATCTTCTTAATAGATCTTAATACATATTGGAGAATATATTTTTTGTATCCTAAGCCACTTAGGGCTGTGCAGTCCAGTTTTAATATTTAAATTGAACTTGATAGGTGATAGCAAACTATCCAGCACTTTGGGGATCATTGTTATATGGCTCCATTTAGCTACTTCACTTAAGGACTGAGTAGTTTCCTCCATAGAGTGCATTGCAGTTAAGAAATCAAGAGGGTTTTTTTTAGGGCAGGGATCCCTGAAGCTAAGTTACTCTAGTGTAGTTACAGACATAGCTAGAATCCCAGCGGTGGGATTCTACCAGTTCGGACTGGTTTGGGTGAACCCCTTGTTCTGATGTTCAGCTCGCTCCGAACCAGTTCTCTGTGATGAGGAAGTCAGACCGCCCGCCCGTCCGTCCCTGCTCTTTCCTTGTGCTTTATGCCTTTGTTTAGAGCACAGCTGATTCACGCGGCAGAGCAGTTGGCCATGCCTCAGCTGTTTTCTTCACAGAGGCTGCAGTTGAATGTAAGTATGGGCTTGCCTTTTTTAAATGCAAAGTGCACACGTGATCACCAAACCGGTTGTTATACCAATGGAATCCCACCCCTGGCTAGAACCCCAGCTGGGACTGAGCAGGTGTTCATATTTATGACAGTCCTGGGGTCATGGGATCCCCTTTTGCAACCTTCTGGCAAGCAAGCTCAGTGGGGAAGCCAGATTTGCTTTATAACCCTCTGACTAACTTAATGACTGCAGTGATTCACTTGACAAGTGTGGCAAGAAAATGGGGCAAAACTGACTTAACAATTGTCTTGCTTAATAGCAATGGGAATTTGGGGCTCGGTTGTGGTCATAAGTCAAGGACTATCTCCTGTAGTTGCATTTTCAGACTGGATTCAAGGAAGGGGTTCAAGTGAGGCAGACTTTTCTTTTGGCAAGAATGCCTGGCTCACTCTTAGCCTGAGAATTCTTTTCTCACAATATGTCTATCTTACCTGGATGGATTATCTAATCCAGGGGTGTCAAAGTGGATTTCTTCGAGGTCCAGATCAGCATTGTAGTTATCCTTTGTGGGCTGGCTGGGGAGGGGGGGCAGATGGGATGGACACCTTCTGCAGCCCCCTGCTGGCCAAAATGGGGTAGGGGGGCCTCGCAGCCATACTGCACCCTGTTTTGGCCAGCAGGGGGCTGCAGGAGGCTGTCCAGGGCATGGGAGGGGCTTGTGTGGCCTCCCCGTGCCCCATTTTGGCTGACAGGGTGCTTCAGGCGGCTGTCCAGACTAAAAATGGGATGGGGGGGCGCATCGCTGCCAGAGGCACCACGTTCAGCCTGTTTTGCTATTTCCAGGCCGGCCCCACAGGCCAAATTTAAGCACCCCGCCGACCTTGAGTCTGACACTCCTGATCTAATCTAACACTGCCTTTAGGTAACTGTTAAGCAGCTGGTGGAAAGGAGAAATAGAAGCAAATGCCAGCAACACTGTATATTCCAAATTTGTAGATGGCCACCCAAAAATATCTTCTGAACAGAACTCTCACTGCTATTCTCTGCCACCCATCCTCTGTGCTTAACTGCCACTGGGTGGCAGTCATGTACAAAAGAACAGATCTACCATAGCACTATTGTGTCCTATCTGCATGGAGAACAAGACATTTATCCCAGAGCTCCGGTGGCGCAGTGGTTGGAATGCAGTACTGCAGGCTAATTCTTCCAACTGCCTGCTGCCAGCAGTTTGATTTTCACTGGCTCAAGGTTGACTCAGCCCTCCATCCTTCCGAGGTTGGGAAAATGAGGACCCAGATTGTTGGAGGGCAATAGGCTGACTTTGTAAACTAGTTAGGGAGGGCTGTAAAGCACTGTGAAGCAGTATATAAGTCTAAATGTTATTGCTATTATCGGCAGGCACATGGCCATGCCCACTTCAGCGTAACCCCACACACACACACACACCACAGCCGATCCACTCCAGGTGTTCCTCCTCGGCTGGCCCTCCATTGACAGCCATTTGTCCAAAATGGTGTAGGGTCTCCCGATTGTGTGTGGGGTTGGATTAGATGACCTACAAGATCCTTTCCAACTCTGATTATCTATTAAGTGTTTTTCCAAAAGGTAACTGGACTTTCTTATTTTTTTTTCCTTGAAAACATTTCATATCTCATTCAGGAAACTTTTTCAGTTCAGTTCAGAAGCTTCTTGGATGAGAAGCAAGATGTTTTCAAGGGAAAAAAGAAAAAAGAAAGTCTGGTTGTCTTTTAGAAAAACATATTCATGATGGGCCATATGCATTAACTATGTTGAATTCAGTTCAGTTTGTCTTGCCTTGAAATTGTGTCTAGCCAAATTCTAGTTTTTTAATTCTGCTCTTCCTGCTCCTACATTGGAAAGAAGTTTTATATCCCTGTGCTACTGGGCTAAGTTCAATGTTTTGGGCTCGGTGAATCAAAAACTAGGTAGGCCCAAGCGGGTTTTGCACATTAAAACATGGAAGCTTACATCATCCATGTGAGCTAAATAGAAGTCAACGTAGCTTTGTGGTTCATGAGAGGCCTGCGAATTCTTAGAATTTCCCATCTTCTTTTTGATATAAGAAATCATAAATTCAAAGGAGGAAACTGCCGTCTTGTGAGGCCCAGGGAGGTATTCCACAAGTGAAGGGAAGATGTTATACATCTGCAGGAAGAGAAATAATCTTAATTACAATTCTCAATAACCCTGATAGCTTGAACATGTAACATATAAGTCACCGTGTGGCATTCTCGGTGCTCTCTGTGCTTGGTTATTTGCTTGTAGATGTTTCATCTGAAATGGCATGTCGTCTGCTTGAGAAACAGACCTCGAAGTTCCCCTCGAACTCTGCTATTCATCACCCAACTAGATAACACAATCTATATATGTATAAACGTGTGTTTGTGTGTGTGTGTGTGTTCCAGCATAACTCTGGAACGCCTCGAGCAATTTCATCCAAGCTTGGTACACAGATGCCTTACCCTCTGGAAACAAATACTGTGGGAGTAAGATACCCCTAAAACCCCTCGAGGATATGTGCCTTAAAATGGCTTCTACTGTACAGCACAGTGGACTTGCCATGGTAACGGCTTCACAGTACTCCAGTACTCCACAAGGGGATTCCCTCAGCCCTCGAAGGAAATGCCAGGCAATTGGCCAAGCGCCATCAAAAAAATGAAACACCAGCATAGACAAGAAACTCCCAAGGAGAGGAATAGAAGACTTGCGACACTGCGCGAGAGACAGTACAAGAGTGTGAGTCCTGACTACAGGATTTTGCTGTCTAATATAGGGATAAATAAATACCCGAGCAACACCAGGTTATCATCTAGTGATAAATATAACTTATGCCTTGGTAAAAACAGACTTGGAATACACATCCAATTTTGGTCAGCACAATACAAAAAAGACTTTGAGACTCTGGAAAGAGTGCAGAGAAGAACAACAAAGATGATTTGGGGGCAGGGGGGACTGAAGGCTAAAACATATGAAGAACAGTTGCAGGAATTGGATATGTCTAGTCTAATGAAAAGAAGGACTAGGGGTGACATGATAGCAGTGTGCCTGTCAACTATAAAACGTGTATATAAAATGTTTTATGAGTTTCAAAGAGCAGGCAACAGTGTGGGATCGAAAGTACATTCCATTCATATTTTCTTCAAAGACTGATTAGATGGCTGAAGCTTCTGCCATGAAAAAAAATCTAATTGGAGAGCATGATTGATGACTCTTGGCTACGGACGTTTTTCATTGGCTGATGCATGGGAGGCGGGAAGCAGGATCAAGGGTGACAGTGAATTACGTATCTCAGAGTTCACTATGCCCAGCTTAGTGCCAGACGTAGAATGTTAACTTCAAACAAATCCTCTTTAGTTTTGGAAGTGTGGCTTGAGGCTCATGATTTAATTGGAGTAACTGCCGGAATCCTGACAGTGCCAATATTTGGGGGACTGCCACAAAGCACTAGAAGGCAAGACAAGAAGCAATGGATGGAAACTAATCATGGAGAGAAGCAACCTAGAACTAAGGAGAAATTTCCTGACAGTAAGAACAATCAATGAGTGAAACTGCTTGCCTTCAGAAGTTGTGGGTGCCCCAACACTTGAGGCTTTTAAGAAAAACTAGGCAGCCATTTGTCTAAACCAGGATAGGGGGCTAGACTAGAACATCTCCATGTTCCCTTCCAACTCTGTTATTCTGTATTCTGTATGATTTTCCCTCTGCATTTGAAGATATATTTATATCTGTGCTATAGATAGCATTGGACAAAATGGATCAATAAAGCATTCCAGGAAGTTATAAGGCCATGCATTCTAAGGCAATAAGAAGAGAGAAAAGCTTTCATTTACTTTATTTGCTTACCATTTCTCCAAAAGTACCTCGGCATTTTGTAATGTTATTGATGTGTTCAACAAGCCTTTGGAACATGTCATCCTCTCTGAGAACAGTTTCTCCAAAAACTGCTGTGTGGATCATTTGGGAGGCTGAATGCATGAACAGTAGGAAAGGATCCAGTGGTTGTCCTATACCCAGAAGTTAAAAATCTATTACAAACACAATAAAGCTGGTAGAAGGGAAAAATATTCTGTAAAGCAAAATGCCTGCCATTGCTAAATAAACAGTGGGCAGCCAGAGAAAGACTACCTACCAGCTGCCACCTTATGATTGCTTGTGCTTTGCTGCCATGCAGGGACAGTTTTGCATGAATTCTGGGGAGGGTGAATGGGAGGGGGAGATACTTGGGGGAAAATGAAAGTAGCTGCCGAATTTCCTCAAGATGCTGCTTCAAGGTTACCCGGCTGGGAGAAGAAGGCAGCTGCATACCAACCTACGTTTGAATTGACCATTCTGGAAACATCTTGCCTGAACCTGATTAGTTATGGAAAGGATCGATAATGGTAGGCAGTTCTGGGAAGGAAAAGGTGAACTTGGGGATTTTGGCATTCAATTCTCAGTACTGGTTATGCTTGACTACAATAGACTTCTAATAAAACTGCATCATTCCCACCGAATGGAGCCAAGGATCCCTAACCTTTTAGCCATCAGCTACATACCCTTGGTCTGGGCAAAAGTTTTCACCAGCTGACTAGCCTCCTCTTGTATGTGCTGTTCCAGACCCTTTTTCATTGTTCCCAATTTCTGCAGGGTCGACTTTCCAAACTGTCTCTGCTGTTTCCAAGTTTTTCCATTGGAAAACATGATGCCTGCAGCAAACATGAGCCATCATTAGAAATGTATTATTTTTATTAGAGACATATTTCACTTTACATTGAGGAAATCACAGCCTCTCCTCCATTTTTCCCCACAGCAACAAGCCTGTACAGTAGGTTGGACTGAGAGTGATCAGCTCAAAATCACACAGTGAGATTCAGTGTGTGATGACCCGGGGTGTGGCACAAAGGCAACACAGCCAGAAAATAAGTATGAGTCCATTTATTTGCTCCAACTTTGCCCCCAATGTCCCGGTTACTTTCTGGCCTAGAGAAAAGCTCTCCCACGAACCTATAACAGCCTCTGGCTGCAGATATTCCAGTACAAACACTGTAAGTAGAATTACTGCAATCAATCACTCCAGCAGGAAAGATAATGAGTCCAATAATTCCAGCAAGGCAGATAATCACACAGAAGCACAACAATAATTCACACAAACAGAAGGAATGTCAGGAATGCAGGCTAACCTCACAATACTAGATGAATTTAGCATTTGTTCCTGACAAATGCCCCTCCCAAATGCTTCTCCTTTAAACTCCATCCCCAGATGTGTGCCTTGTGAAGGGAATCGGGGCCCTTTCCTTCCTCGTAAGCCACACAATCCACATTGCTCTCTCCTGCGTTCTTCCCTGCGTGCCTTAGGATGAGGAGGGGGTGGGCCTTGGTCTTCATCTGAACCCCATCTCCCTTTATTTATTTATTTTTTATTTATTTGATTTGTCTTTTCAATCGCAACATCTGATTGGATCTCAGTTATGGTGATCTTGAATATGAACCAGCAGTGTGCAGCCGCAACCAAAAAAGCTAACACGATCCTGGGTTGTATAAACAGAGGCATAGAATCAAGATCACATGAAGTATTAGTACGGCTTTATAAAACCCTAGTGAGACCACACCTGGAATACCTCAACCAATTTTGCAGTATTGCACAAAAAGATGTTGAGACTTTGGACAAAGGGTCAGAGAAGAGCAATTAAGATGATCAAAGGCCTGGAGACTGAAACATATGAAGGGCAGCTTCAGGATTTGGGTTTGGCTAGTCTAAGGAAAAGAAGAATTAGGGTGACATGATAGCAGAATTCCAGTGTTTGAGGGGCTGCCCCAAAGAAGAGGGGGTCAAATTATTCTACAAAGCATCAGAGGGCAGGATAAGAAACCATGTTTGGAAACTAATCAAAGAGAGAAACAACCTGGGATTAAGGAGTAATTTCCTAATAATGAGGACAATTAACCAGTGGAACAGTTTGCCTTCAGAAATCGTGGGTGCTCCATCGTGGGAGGTTTTTAAGAAGAGACTAGACAGTCACTTATCTGAAATAGTATAGGTTGAAGGGGGGTTGGACTAGAAGTCCAAGGTCCCTTCCAGCTCCTATTTTATTCCTATTCTATTCTATTCCTATTCTATTCTATTCTATTCCTATTCTATTCCTATTCTATTCCTATTCTATTCTATTCCTATTCTATTCTATTCCTATTCTATTCCTATTCTATTCCTATTC